GTCCGATTCCACCACGTTCCACGGGTAGACGTCGTGTCTGGCACTACAGGTCAGCGGACTGGGATGAGATGCGGATTTTTTTCGCATCTTACCCATGGAGGCGGGTTTGCTTCACACTGGATGATCCTGACGCCATTGCCGATTCCATTGCTGATGTGGTGCTTCAGGGAATGGAATTATTTATTCCTAACTCTGTGGTGCCCGTCGGCGGGAAATCCCAGCCCTGGTATGGAGCCTCTTGTAGAACAGCATCTCGTCTGAAACAGGAGTGCTTCCTAACCTGGGCTAAAGGTGTGGCGTCGCGAGATCCTAACACCAGTGCTCTCAAAAAGAAGTATAACTCTGCCTCTAGGTCTTTCAAAAGAGTTATAGCCACAGCGAAGTCAGAGCATATTAGTAGAATTGGCAAGAGATTGGCTAGTTTGCCCTCTGGGACTCGAGCTTTCTGGTCTCTTGCCAAAGCTGCACAAGGGAATTTCTGTAAGTCATCTTTTCCACCATTGCGCAGGGAGGATGACTCGTTGGCCCAGAACGCTAAGGAAAAGGCCGATCTTCTTGGATCCATCTTTGCGTCAAACTCGACATTGGATGACGGGATGAAATCACCACCGACCATCACGTGTTGTAGGAGCTCTATGCCTGACATTAAATTCACGCATAGCTCAGTGCGTAGAGCACTTTTCTCCCTCGAAATCCATAAGTCGAGTGGGCCCGATGGTATTCCTCCAATTGTGCTTAGGACGTGCGCACCAGAGTTGGCTCCGGTTCTTACGCATCTTTTTCGGCTTAGCTACTCATCGGGCATAGTCCCAAAGTTTTGGAAGACTGCTCTGGTGCATCCGATCCCTAAAAAGGGAGATCGCTCAGATCCAGCTAACTATAGGCCCATAGCTATCACTTCCTTATTCTCGAAGGTTATGGAATCCATCATTAACCGTCAACTGCTCCGGTACCTAGAAGAGCACCAGCTGATCTGTGATCGCCAGTACGGCTTTCGACAGGGACGTTCGGCTGGTGATCTTTTAGCTTACTTAACACACCGATGGGCAGTGGCAATCGAGAGTAAGGGAGAGGCCTTAGCAGTTAGTCTGGATATCGCGAAGGCCTTTGATCGGGTGTGGCATAGAGCGCTGCTTTCAAAGCTACCTTCATTTGGGTTGCCTGCGAGACTGTGCATTTGGGTCGCCAGTTTTCTCAAGGAACGTAGCATTAAGGTCGTAGTCGACGGAGCATGCTCTGATTTAAAACCTTTGAATGCTGGTGTCCCGCAAGGCTGTGTACTATCTCCGACTCTGTTTCTTCTGCATATCAATGATATGTTACAGATAAGTAATATTCATTGCTATGCAGACGACAGTACAGGAGATACATTATATACCGGTCATGCAAAGATCTCGCGGGCACATACCGATGAGTGCCGGAATAGACTTGTGTCTGAAATCGAAACTTCACTCCATCAAGTTTCGATCTGGGGTGAACAAAATCTTGTCCAATTTAACCCCAAAAAGACACAAGTCTGCGCGTTTACCGCAAAAAAGACGCCGTTTGTCGTATCTCCTCACTTTCAGGGCACTTCCCTTGATAAAAAGTCGAGTCTAGGAATTCTGGGCGTTGATATATCTTGCGACGTCCAGTTTTGCGGTCATCTGGAGGAGAAGGCTAAGATAGCTTCCAAAAAGTTAGGAGTACTCAATAGGGTGAGACGATATTTCATGCCAGAACACCGCCTGAAATTATATAAAGCCCAAGTCAGGCCGCATATGGAATACTGTTCTCACCTGTGGGCAGGAGCGCCACAGTACCAACTCCTTCCGTTAGACCGCATTCAAAGTCGGGCGGCTCGAATTATCGATAGTCAACGCCTTACTGTCCGACTCGACCCACTGAAACTGCGCAGAGATGTTGCATCTCTGTGCATCTTCTACCGAATTTATCATGGGGAGTGTTCTGAGGAATTGTTCGGATTGATACCTGCTGCTGATTTTCACCACCGTACAACCCGCCACAAACTAAAGTTTCATCCCAATCATCTGGACGAGTGGCGGTCTTCCACCGTGCGTTTTTCAAGGCACTTTCTTCCACGCACAACCATTCTTTGGAATCAACTTCCAGCAGCAGTATTTCCGAACCGATACGACAACATAACCTTCAAGAAAAGAGTATATTCCTTTTTAAAAGGCCGGCAGCACACCTGCAATGCCGCTGGTGTTGTGGGTGATCATGGGCGGCGGTAGTCACTTACCATCAGGTGAGCCGCATGCTCGTTTGCCCCCTGTGTTGTAAAAAAAAAAAAAAAAATACATTGCTTTAATAGGGGTAATATACTCACACGCCACAATAAATATGCATAATAAAAATATGTGCATGTATTCGCATTTCATCAACTGTTTGCATTATAGTAAACGTAACAGTATTATCATTTTATCTAAGACGTAATATTTGAGTTCTGGCCGTGTGGTCTCGGCATAAAATAGGCGACCCCTTCCTATCCCGTGGGTGTCGTAAGAGCCGACTAAGGGAGGGCGAGGGATGGGCAGCAGCGTCCCTTTTAAAACATCTCTAAAGTCTGACTGCGGTTGCCAATATACCTACCAAGCATGGTAACTATTGGCAAACCCCTCAAGGGGGAGGCTTAAGTTCAGCAGTGGACAGTTAAGGCTGACACGATGATAACGATGAATATTTGAGTTGCCATATTTTCCTGACATTGGTGTTTGTAAAAAAGTATAAAAATGAACGCATAGTTACTATATTTATAAGAAAAAATTATATGTATATATAATTTAGATCTATTTAGAAACTAGTACTTATAATTACAAAAATATTTTCTCCAAAATCTAGCTAAGATTATTCGAAATAAAGTCACATAATCTTAGCTAAATTTTGTAAGATTTTCTATTGGATCGATCATGAAGTACCTAAAAATAAAAATTTTATTGGATGCAATGATCGCATACAAATGACTTTTATTGAAGTCAACTCTTTATTGTTCGGCTTCTAAATGAAACTTTAAAAGAAGTTAGTGACATTTAAAAAATGGTTTAATGCTATCAAAATGTGGGTTTCGTTTTCCAAGCCTCGAGACCTTTTTATGCAAATCTTAAAGGATGTGCTGGGGTTTTTAATGAAACTGCGCAATTACTTTGATGAATACTGTATTCGTGACGAAGCGACCCTTAGCGCAAAAAGTGAGGTAAGGGTAACGCTAAATTAAATGTCGGGTGTATTGATTTCAATGGCAGCATTATTTGAAAGAAGAAACATTTTTCTAAAAAATACAAAACATACGTTTTTTATCCTCTGTTCGTAATTTACTGTTTGTATTGTGACTTCTAAACGGAACTGATGGTATTTTAATATCATAGTAATCGATATGATATCAGTTACAATATTTTAAGTTTGTTTTTTTATTGGTTTGTTTAATTATTTAGTATTTTTTGGCTCCTTAACAGTAAATTTAGAATAAACAACAAAATCGCGGCACAGTTAAAATTATACTGGTATATGTGAAAATGAGTTAGTCTATTTCAATCAACCAATAATTATTAAATTTAACAAATACCCACGAAGTATTTTACATAGGAACAGACATAGTAGGTTTCCTTTTATTATGGCAAATCAACAATTTCCGATCATGTAGACGAAGGTGTGGACAGAGCTAGTAATATGATAATGAAATATACATAAAGATTGTTTTGATTCTATGTTATGCTCATACTTTTAAGAGAATATAAGATTGAATAACAAATATCTAAATAGGTATGTTCACAACATTTTTTATTTATAATATTATTAAGATTCAAAACCTCAATCAACAGATGAGATGATTGGTGTTATATAAATATTTGGCATGTTGATATTATGTATACAATGTAATGAATTCCACGTTTCTAAGGAAAACACAAATTTATACTTGTCACTCAATCCAAATGTTAAGAACACAGAAGCAGTCTCTACGCAATCTAATAAAAAAAGTAGATGAAACTCCCTTACGCAACTAGAATTTTAATCAATTTTGCGGCCAATAACTGAAACGGAGGGCTCAACGAGCCGCTGTTCTCAAATTACCGCCTTAAACCATTCTCTTAGACTATATTCATTAGGATAATACCCTTAAATTAAAAAAGAACTTTTTCCATTTAGTATTGCAGACATTACGAAAAAATCTAACTGGTTCATCGATATACCGAGTTCTATAATTGTAATCGAATGGTTTAATCAACGACACCAGACAGGACACATTCAATACACAACCCTTTTCATTGTAACAGGATTTTCTGACAGACGTTGCTTCTACTATTTCTTTTGTGTCCGCGTAAACAGCATTGGTAAAAAGAAGAATCAGTATTGCGAAGTCAAAGCCGTTTGTGGCGAGACGCCCTCGGCTACTAGAATAATGACTTTGCGAGTATTTTGACGGAACTTTATTACGGTTAGTACGTACCTACTTAGCAGGCAATTAAGAAAGCCTCTAGTATTTTTCTTGGTGGACGTGGTAATTAGTTTCTTTAATAATTTAAAAAGGCTTCTGAGAAAAGTTTTATCGCGTTAATTAAAAAGAAAAATTAAGCAATGTCCAGATGGGTGGTTTCTAAACGGGCTGTTGTATCTTTAATGTCATAAAGCTATTCTCTTGGTGTGATTTCAAAGCTCATCATGAACTCATGGTTATTTACAACGTTGTTTACATCGAAACTTCCTCTTTGTTTTCTCTCATTCTATGGTTGCCGAGACTTATATTCAAAACAGCTAAGCCAGTTTTGTCAGGACTTTAATTTTATTATATTAAATGAATTTGTAAGGAATAAAATTTGGCATCTTACTAAGTTTATTTTCACAAATAAGTTCAGTAAAAAAGTGTTCTGTAAAAGCGAAGTTTCTTCCAAAAAATTGTTACTAGAGGGTGATAACAGTTACTTTCAGCGTATTATTATAAAAAATATGCACGGTCATCTATTTATATACCTAGCTTAATTAACATTACTATTTCTTTGTTTCAGATAACAACAAAACGAAACGACTCCGAAAATCGTGTAATTCGTCATAAAGCAAGACAACCGTTGCACGCTATAGCATCAACGTGGAAATAGTTTCATTTCCATTCGGTCTATAGGTAGTTACGGTAACGAGTGGCAGGTGTCACGGGTCGCGGGAACATGAGGCAGGACGGTGGCGGGGGATAGCATGACAGCGCCAGCCACGGCGGCCTGATGGCGCTAGTGCGCCGCATATTAGGCGACGCCCAGGTAAAATTTTCAGTTACATAGATATATGCGTGCTTCCTGCCCCTTTCTCCATTTGACCTGAACTCTTTCCTATCTCAAATGTAGCCATTCGAAAAAAAGAAGTCTGTGTACGAGAATAGTATTGAATTAAGCCATTTTCGTCGAGTAAATGAAGTTCAGAGTATGTTTTCATCTTTCGTTAGATTAAAAGATTTATAATAAAGCATCCTTTTACACTCAACTAATTATATACGTAGTCTTTAATAAGCATGCCACGTTTACCACTGGGTTACATGATACGTATTTTGATTGTTTAGAAATTTAACCCCCTAATCTTACGCTCAATCAGTCAACACAAAGAAACCGTACAATTCGTTTGGAATCCGATATCTATGCCCCTGTGGATGCATGTCTAGATATTTGATCCCAAATCGATAAAGGCTATAAACCCAATATCGTAAATTGCAAGCTGTCGGTATTATCATTAATTACAAAGTTAGAAGGGAAATTGGAGGCCTCCCCTAAAACGTGGCGATTAAATCGACTATTACGTCAAATGCTTGTAGGTGAATAGAATTAACAAAATAATTGAGTATTAGACTAACGTAGCGATAAGACATTGATGAATCGTAAACAATTTTTTTAATTTAGAATCTATGCACGAATTGTAACAGACACATACATTTTACGTATTTTTTATATTCAACGTCTTTAAACTTGTCAATAAAACGACCTTCCCATATTAATTCTTGCCCTTACCAATATTACAAATGTGTACTTAACGGCTTAAACAATGACTATGAAATTTGATATACTTGGACAATATGCGATAGAGAAGGCCATAGGCTATTTTATTCCGGTCAGTAAACACATCCCGGTCATGAAAATGAAGTCGCGGATAAAAGCTTGTTTAAAATATTTATTATAGAAACATTAAGGACGAACTACTTTTTTAGAGCATAGGTACTTTAGTGTTTGCTGACAAATTTTATTTTTTTCTTTATTGCAAGTATTTATTTTCAGGATGTTCCCAAACCACAGCTAATATTGTAATTTTTTTTGTTATTTAATTGACTACTAAAGTTACTAAAACATTATATGTGTACAACTTTATTATGCCAATTATAGCGCCGCAAAATTATAGCATTTATTTTTCGATAGGCGAAACTACGTAAAATGGTTGATGAGCAAGTGTCGGTGGGCACACGGGTCGAGGCAGATGCAGAACCCGAGCCCGCCGATCCTCTCATCACCCCGGCGAGCTCCGCCCTAGAGAGGACCGACTTGGATCCCAGGCCGATTCCTCCCGAACGGCGGCTCCTCATCGGCACTTTAGATAAACGTAATGGATCCTTAAATGGGGACAAAGATGGGACTATAAATAGAACAACCAGACTTTCCATTAGAAATGGAAAAGATAACCCATTTTTAGGTACGTACAGATGATTTCTTATCAATATTATAGTTTATATGTATCTCTAATCTCTAAACGACTACAAAGCTGAAACTAATATAACAAATAGACGTTTTATTAGAAATAGAAAGGATATTCTTTCTTAGTCACGTATAGAATGTCTTCATTGATACTCTAGATAAACATAATGAAATTGATCTCTAAATGGCAACAAAGAAGTTATATTGTTAACAGTATAACAACAATAAAATGTATTCGATTTTAAATGGAAAAAAATAATCCTTTCTCTTATATACATTTTATAAAATAATAGAAATAATAGAACTAGTAAACTAACAATGGAATTTGTTACATTTATTTCTAGGGTTTGCTTTTCTTGCTTCATTGTTATGTTCTTTAATTAAGACGATGTTCTTAATATATTATCTAAACAAACTTTCTTAATTAGAAATGCTTAGTTTACATAGTGTCTCAACATCAAGAGTAATTAATCCACGAAAGTGTCATTTCTAACACTAATTTATTGCCATGTAATTAGGTTTCATTTTTGTAACTTGAATGACAAACGAACTGACGACCGACCTGCTGGAAAGAGGTAATTGTTGCCTATAGACACGAACTCTGCTATGGATATAACAAAACACACTATGATCACTATGATATATATACTTTATCAGCTGCCATACCTGAGTAAGATGTTACATTCGCGTGCTCTATTATTTCACCGCTATATCCTTCAAACAGAAAAAAAGCAAAAAAGGAGTCACATGTTATATAAGACATTGTAATGGACCAATAATAGTGTATTAGTATTTTAAATCATATTATATGATATAATTAATTAATTTAATTAAAAATATTATTATTGATTTCATTAATTAGATGATGACAATAAAGAAAATCAAGCAAATGGCAAACTGGACTCTCCTGTTAAATGGTCAATACAAAACGGGAGTGATAGTGGAACATACGCCGAAATAGGAACAGGAGGTAACAGCAACACCAGCGAAAGAAATATCCTGGATCCTGCAGACAGTTCTGAGGAAGAGATGCCGCTACCAGATGCCACGTCACCGGGAAGAAGTAGTGATGGACCAGAACCAAGAGCAGATATCACTGCGACTTTGGATGGAGGTAAGATAAATTATAACATTAAATTTAACTATTATTTATATTATTAGTTTTATTCCTATATTTAGTACAATTCTACAAAAACTACAATTTTTTTTTACCTTCAATAGAATTATATTCGTTCGTTCTGTATTAGTCCATTAGGAATTCTGGTGTTATTTTATTTTCTAGAATAAAAATATTTTAGCTACATTATACGCCATATTTTTATAACGATCGAAATAAAATGATAATAGTTTATTCGAAATGTCCTATACATAAAACTGTCCGCCTAAAACTGTATAAAGCTCAAGTGAGGCCACACATGGAATACTGTTCTCACCTGTGGGCAGGAGCGCCACAGTACCAACTCCTTCCGTTAGACCGCATTCAAAGTCGGGCAGCTCGAATTGTTGACGATCGGCGTCTTACTGTCCGGCTCGACCCACTGAGGCTGCGTAGAGATGTTGCATCTCTGTGCATCTTCTACCGAATTTATCATGGGGAGTGCTCTGAAGAATTGTTCGGATTGATACCTGCTGCAGATTTTCACCATCGTACAATCCGCCATAAACTAAAATTTCATCCCAACCATCTGGACGAGTAGCGGTCCTCCACCGTGCGTTTTTCAAGGCACTTTCTCCCACGCACAACCACTCTTAGGAATCAACTTCCAGCAGCAGTATTTCCGAACCGATACGACAACATAACCTTCAAGAAAAGAGCATATTCCTTTTTAAAAGGCCGGCAGCACACCTGCAATGCCGTAGGTGTTGTGGGTGACCATGGGCGGCGGTAGTCACTTACCATCAGGTGAGCCGTATGCTCGTTTGCCCCCTGTGTTGTAAAAAAAAAAACATATACTTAAAAAAAAAATATAACCATTTCATTTATTTAACTTTGATTAATCTAAAAATCACTGATAATTTAGACGTCCTATTTCTTTAAATGTAAACAAATAGCTACTTCTTTCAACATAGAAGAAATGAGACAAAACAAACAAAAACAATTTGTGTTTATTTCGGAGTTTGTAATCCCAGATAATAGATTCCAACTAGACGAGGCGGTTAGTTTTGCTAATGTTGTTCGTATTTACTTAGCACTTCTACCTATAAATAAATCATCAATATATTGGAGGTCATATATATAATATATTTAAACTCCTCTTATGGGGAAGGCTTATGTTTAGCAGTGGACAGTTAACAGCTGAAATTAATATTAAAAGTCATACCCATACCAAATATGATGATGATGATGATACCATAGTATAAGTAGTAATAGTAATATAGCTATACCGAGATATCACGTACTGTACATACGTATTTTTCAAACATCCATTCATGAAGCCAACATATTGACTTCATATTATAAAATGTTAACCTTTTATATGAAAACTTAATTTATATTTGAATAAATACATAAATGACTAATTATGGAGGATTTATCTCCACTATTATTATCGAACCTTATTTTTATTGTCCACATAACCTTGGCAGTGTCTCAAAATTCAAATTAATTGAAAATTTTTCATAGGTCAGATTTACACTCCCCCATTCCAATATCATAATCATTCCATTCACCATACTTGGGCTTTGAGTATAATGAAAAATACTTTATTACTATTAAAATCATTTTTCACATACAATAAATTCTACACTATACTAAAAAATACTTTATTTATCAATAATATCTTAATATTTTATATATAATTATATAATATTAACTGCATAACTATAAAAAATCCTACTATTATAAAGAAGACATACATTGTTCTTTTTGCCCCGATTGCGGGATGCGTCTACTGCTAATGAGCAGTTAGGTAGCTTGAGGGATACGCTTATTTGTCGACTAACTGCACATCCAACCAACTTTGTAAGAACGAAAAAGCACAGCTGTTTGTTATTATGTCATATAATAGCTCTTCTTAGAAATTTGGAAATTAAGAAACCATGAAGTTATTAATTTATTCGGCGAATTCTGTAGCGTTGTGGAATCCACACTGTATTAGACAAATGAGATCCAGGAACCGATTTTCAGTCGATCCTACTCGATTTCTTCTTATTAATTACGTTTTTTGTATTCTAAATTGCACCTGCTTCGAACTGAAATGTATTTATTTGATTTCTTAAATATGATAACTAGATTATATCGAGAAAACTATTTACATAAAAATACTTTTAAAATATTCTATAATAAAAATATCATCATATTTACAAAAACAAGGTATTTATTTTTATTTCTGTTTATTTTATTGTATTATAATAGTATATAAATGTGGAAATGGATGTACGAATGGATGTTTATTACTTTTTTTTATGAAGAAAGCGTTACGTTACGTTTTAAATTATAATTTAATGGAAACAAACAGTACGTAAACGATTTCAAAGTAATAATCGTACTTTATAATTTGAATTAAATTTTCGTAGTTCAAATAAGATCTTTTGTTATACTAACTTAGCGGAATAGGTATTGGCCTCACAACATGATCAAAATGGCGTTTCATACAATATATCCGCATCTCAAAGGCTCACGATAATGAATATTTGACGACTCTGCAGCTAATTTCATCTGTATTGACTTATTTATCAAATTTTAATTATTTCTCTAGGTACTGGTGCCTTACATTTACTGTGTCAATGTTTATTTTATATGCAGGTAAATTGAACGCAGATTTTGTCATTTCATTTCACAAAGTACTTTTATTATGTCTTTGTTCTTTTATTTTTAAATAAAACAAGCTCGAAGTTCCCTAAATTAGAAATAGAAGTGAGACAAATAAACGAATATAAGTATTATGAATTTATAAACGTAATATATTATATTTTATCTTTTAAAAAATAAAGTAACAAAATTGATGATTATATTGTTCGTAGATAAATTCTTATTAGTATATTTAATCACGAGGTAAACATAAGAAACACAACCTTTATAAATTTAACAGCTATTTTATAAATTGACTGATTCATGAATTAATTAAGAAATATCTTTACATGTAATGATTATTATTATTATTATTATTATTCAACTGCTATTTCGAGTAAAATATAATTTGAAAAATATATTTTAAAGTTATTAATAATAATAATTTATAGCCATAGAGTTCTTTAAGAGACCTGCCGTAAATATTGAGCTCGACAGAAATAATGAATCTTATTATTACCACTAAGTATATACTAATATTATTAATATTATGAAGAAAAAAAAATTTTGTTCGTTTGTTTTTAATAGATAAGTTTAAAAATTACTCAATTTTAAAAATTCTCCTATAAAAAGCTACATTATCAGCGAGTAATATAGGCTACATATTGAATTCGAAAATTCTATTTTTATGGGACTCAACAATTCATTGATCACCTACAAATTATCGTAATGTTAAATTGACTTCAAAAAGGAATAGGCTCTCAATACGTATATATCTTCTGTGTATAATTTTCTTTGCAATTGTCTTTTTACAATAATAGAGGACACTCTTTTATATAAATTTTGTAATATTTGTAGTGTTTTTCTTTGTGGAACAAAATGTTTAATTATTATGAGTAAGAAGCCAGCGAGCAGTTTTGGGCAATACAGATAATGTAATATATTTGTTTTTTAAACACTAATTGGAGATTTATTGTTACTTATTGAATAATATGTTTTTCAACCCACTTGAAAAAGAAGGAGACTCCCAATTCATTTGTTTTTTTTTTTATGTGACCTCGTCACTCTGTTAGTTGTAAACCAATTTGAAAAATCCTTTATTTTATCTGAAAGGATATACTTACAAATTGGTGCCATAGGAATGTTATCAAAATCTATTCAATCGTTTAGTTTTTAAATCAAGATCTAATTTTGCCATATTAAAGTCGATTTTATATGTGCATTACATTTAATTATTTCGGCAATTTACAATGGTACGTACCAACAATAAATAGATGTCGTGCGCACCTGCCGACGACCCCGACGCATATTACACACGAGGAATCGATTTGTCTGGACCGGGTGCTGCTTTCGTGACTAGAACAACTTCCCTGTTACTACGACCTATACGTCGCCAATCAATTTTATTCGTATGACAGCGCCAACATCGCACTTTACTAAAGTTTTGATGTTATTGGTTGCTAATAATGAAGGGTATATCGCGAGACTTGATTGTTGAACAGAATGACGAAACTGTTAAGTTAAGCTATTAACAAGACAAAGTTTGGAGTTTAGCAAATCATAGCCGACCAGTTAAGTTAATTTATTGAAGTGTCGTAGTTGTGTTATTCAGACGTAGTGTAGATAGTTATTCGCACAGGTGAGCTAATCGAGATATATCCAAATATAGGAGAAAATTCCTCATTGCCTACAGATAATAGATGAATAATAAAATTATTATTACAGAGTAAATGACCTTAACTATGCCATAATGTGAACTAACTATGCCTTCCTTCCTAGAAATTAGACAAGTCTATGCAACTTAATTTCTAAAAGGTTTTTAATTCGAAGCATCTTTATTTAAAAAGTCTTGTTTACAAGCATTTTTAAATCGATATATTTTTTTTAAAAACTTGTGCTAGATTCGGAAAGCTATTATTTGCAGAGAAAAGACTACTACTTAATATATATTAAATACACATATATTTATTTAAATGCTCTATGTATAAATTTACATTATAATTGAAAAGCCCGAAGCATGTTCGACTAATAACTATTTATTAGTTTCCTATTTATAGCATTTTCACAAGTTTAGTACATTTATTGTAGAAGCGGCGTCTCCTGGAGGTAGATCCGACAGATCGCGGCAGGAGGAAGTATTGGCTTCTCCTGGGATGCTTACAGCGGCGCAATTGGCCAGAAGATTAAGGCTAGAGAATGAACGATTACAGGTAACGTTCTCTACATTTTATGTTGTTCACGACGTACTTATTATATAGATTGCATATTCATATATCTTAGTCATTTATTATAAAGTTGAATAACTAGATGATTTTATTATTATATTATTTCTGGTACCATTAACGACCTATATGATGGTATTTGAAATGCTTAAATAAAGTTTCTAATTCGATTCTCGGTATGGCCAATTTAGGAAAGAAAATTTGGTTTAGGTCTTAATAATCTTGATAGTGCCTGCAAATATACGATATTTGGTCGCTCATCACACAGAGAACCTTAATATCTGAACCAAGTAACTGATGTGATGGTATTACACTTATTTTTGTTAACAAATCATGGATTTCAAAGTTATAAATGTCTAGATATTAAAAAATATCCTTTATTTCTTTGAATACAGGCGGAATTAACAAGAGTGCGCCGATTGTTAGTGGCAGCAGCCGAACGGGGTGAAGCCGGCACGGCGTTAATAGAGCGAGCGAAGGGAGAAGGCGAACAAGACGCAACACCACTTGACCCACAACAGCTAGAAAAGGAGCTGCTACTCGCCAGGGAAGCTGTCAATTGTGAGTTATAGTATTTCTCTCCGTTTAAAAAAATATTTGTTACTTCATCATGCATACACGACTTTGTACAAAGTCTGGTTCACAGATGATATTTCTATATTTCATCCTTTATGCAGAAAATTTTGACTGAAAATAGCTACACTAAAATTACGAGAAATAAAACTGTCATTAGAAACCAGCATATTAAGTTTACTATGCTAGTAACATTCAGAATATTTCTAAACATTAAAAACTTGAGTGATGTCGAATAACTAAAATATGGCTGTGACAGCGCCATAAATATTCTACAATATTTGTGACAAATAATTGTGATTATGTCTATAGGCTTATTTTACATTTTATCGGATATATCGCCAGCTTCATCATAATATAAATACAATTAATAAGAAGCTTATAACTGAATATCTTTTTATAACTAAGCTTAAAACATCTAGTAAGTTTTATATCCCCAATAAATTCTGAATACTAAAGAGTCCAAACAATAATCCGAGCGATACCCATAAAAGTAGCCAATTTGTTGAGTGCCGTTCATGATACGAGAAAGAAGTAGTAAGCCGACATTTTGATAAACTATAGTCATAACATTCGAAGTACCTGAGCCTACGAGGGCGTAATCGGTAAACGGGTCACGTACTCTTAGGGCGTGCTTCTGTAACTTCGGCTGACATTTTCACTAACGTCATTACTCTGACGAAAGCGAACTCGATGCCATAATATAACTATATATGAATATAGAGGCTTAATTATGTTCTGTTGTGATGAAAAACAAAAGTAGGTAGTGAGAATACTTGTTAAGTGCTTAACTTTGTTTGATATATTTACAAATATCATTATTCTGAGGAAAATAAAGTCGAATACATAGAAGAAGAATAATGTTTTGTTAGAGATAAAGATAGGATCTTCAAATTAGGTGCTTGGTTTTTTATTTTCAACTTATTTAATGGTGACTAATATGTCTCAGACTACCCCATAAAGAAACATATTTATTTGTTTATTTTTATTTTATAATATAACTCGGTATATTTTGTTACAAAATATTTACCGTCGAGACATGACTCACTACGAAAGAGACCGTGTTAAATAATTGATGAAGTATCAGGTAAATATATCAGTACCTACTATATAAAAAATGTTTGATTCTATGTTATAGATACTTACCTACACAAAAAATGTGAGAACTTGTAGGTAACTAATGAAATATTTTTTAATTACCCCAACCTTCTTAATTAATGTTATATTTAATTATTATGGCTCTGTTTATAGACAATCTCTATCAATAAGTTACAATTAGTTTAATAATTATTATAAGAATTTTATAAGTAAGTAAGTGTACGTACGTATTTAAATACCTCATATTTATGCATTTATGCAGCTATCATCCAGTCTCGTTTCATAATTTTATAATTGAACTAAACTTACTTTCATACTGGTATTCAAACTTACTGTTATGAAAGAACGAGTGAAAAGGAGGCCTCTTATGCTTATAAAATATGGCCCCGTCATTATTTCACCTACTCATAGAATATATATAGAGTTATGGCACACTTTAACGTAATATGAGACTCTCTAAAGTTAATGCTTCGAAGACGTTCTATTGTTTTACTAACACGCCGCGTTGCCCAGAATGATGTAGCTGGCATTTATTTATAGAAGAGGGTGCGTTATGTACTAAAGTTTATGCTGTGGTAGACACTGCATGAAACATCGATCAAAGGGGCGAGGACGTTTGAGCACTGAGCCCTAGTAATCATTCAAATAAATACGGCTTCTAGTACTGCAGTGATTCCCAAACTTTTTGATATGTAGACTACTTGACATTTTTTTTTTAAGTAGAACTTACTAACTGATAATTATTGAAATAAACTATATTTAAAAAAAATCTCTTACTTTAAATACGTAGATAGTTTAAAGTTTTAGTATAAACATAAACCAACTAGACACAATGAACGAACAAACTTACAGAGTACTGAGCTCGAGTAAGATTGCACAGTATTTTGTATTGTACACAAAACCCTTTTCCCTATAAACTTACTTTGATTCGTAGCAGACGTAGCGCTGAAGTAGGTATTGCATTGAATTTTAGCGTACAAAGCAAACACTATTGTGTGGCAAACTAGTTCTTAGATGGCAACATTCGCTATTTCTATTTCAAATCTCAGTAGGTATATAAAACGAATTTATTTATTCCACACACGTAGAGATATGTAGTATGAAGATTCATATCGCTTATAGTCATGAATATTATTGAAAAGGGCAATCCTTTTAATGGAATTCTTAGTATAATAATGTTGTTACCGGAAATGATTTTTTTTTTTTAAATGCTTCATTTCCATTATTCTTTATTGTATACTAGTTATATATTGAAACAAAATTATTTCAGAGATTGACAATTAGGAATGTCCATTTGGGTCCTAAATTCTTTCAAATATTATCAGCTCTTTTTATATTATGAGTATTTTTTAAGTTTTATATTATACCTTCTTTTTTCGTATTGTATGAATATGACTCTATTTTAATAACTCTTCATACCATTATTCTCATAAGACTAGAAGTATTATACTCTATCTTCATATTATATGCATAATGAATCGTTTCATTTATTCAAATATATTTTAGCGCTGAAAGCTGATAAGAAGAGATTAAAAGCGGAAAAGTTCGACTTACTGACCCAAATGAAGCAGCTTTACGCGACACTAGAAGATAAGGAGAAGGAATTGCGAGATTTTATACGCAATTATGAACAGGTTAGTTGAAATTGTACATTATCGAGATGAAAAGTGTATTTTATCAGTCTTACAAGTTATTTAACGAAACCCTAAAATTTTTACTAGGTCTAATTATTTTCTATATTTTTATATATCAAAGTATATAAATTTATAAAATACATTACCAACTCTATATAGATTATTATAATAAAAAGTATTACTTTGAATATGTCCTATTTAAAAAAAACTGTCTTTTGTGTAGACATGAATAGATGTTAGACGCTCTTTTATAGTAAATCTTTTAAATAAGCTGTAGAGTACAGGCCACATATGTATATTATTTCTAGTTTTTATATTATCATTTACTAATTTCAAAATTATTCTTCAAAATTTATTTTTTTATTGTTCCGTTTTGGATCCAGTCTTCTAAGTCCCGTTTATTAATATATTATTTCCATTCCTGGTTTCCTTTGTCGCCCATACATGTATTTAACACCTATTACAAGTTTGACTTTTTCTGTGGAAACTGTATATGTTTCAACTATAGGTACATACTACATGTACATACAAATTAAAGAAAAAAAAACGAGTATATATGAACATATTTTAATAGAATAAACTTTTGGGAATCGATCTATTACTTTAGAAGTTACAATGCCGTAGACCTAAAAGCTAAGCTAAACACATAAGTCTAAGTATACGTCTCTGTAGTCTATTTTAAGATTCCATTTGATTCAGATGCGCTCAAGAGGCGGTGCATCATCGGCTCTGGGCGCTGAGAGGGCGGAGCGGGAGCGAGAGCGGGCGGCGCTATTGCGTCACGCGCGTGACGAGGCCGAACGTTCGCTGCAGCTCGCCGCCGCACTCAGTGCACGTGATACACAGCTTAGACACGCCCGGGAACAATTGTTCGAGGTACGGAACTTTTTAGAATTATGACGACGCTATATTTTTTATTCTTGACAATATTTTAAATGATATATATCGTCATAGTCGTAGAATACTGACGGATCTTTATATGTAATATTTGTCAGATCCGTCAGTATTCTACAACTATGACGATATATACGAGTATATATGTAGCAACTTATTGTAATTTTCTTAACTTTTTTATTACTTTTATATTGGATTTACTTGTAATTTGCGGTAGAGACCGATCTATAATATGAATGAATGAATAACAAAACCATATAAAATATTTCTTCCAAATTGCGTCGAATTCATAGAGACTCGACGATATTACAAATACTTATAATTTCCAAAAAATCTTATTTTTCAGTAGAACTAATCCAATTCTGCTCCTTGTCAGTAAATTAAAATTGAATATAAACTAAAAGGAATATAAATAGAGAAATTAAAATCAAATTTTCACAGAAATCAAATCAAAATTACTTCTGTTATTATCTGGATATTTAGAGAAAATCTCTCGCTAGTGTTCACCTACCGTACATATCGAACTCTTACACCAAATTTTATATCTAAAGTCCTACCCGTTTAAGCTGTTCATCACCAGTTTATCAATCATTCAAAATTTTTTACACATACGTATTTTATATTAAAAAACAATAAAACAAAAATTATTTTATTTATAGCGTGTAGGTATCAATTCATTAGATAATATTGAGAATTAAGATTATGATTGAGTGGAACACAGTTTGCAAACTGTAGTCAGTCTAATAAATAGCATTCGGCAGTGTTATGATGAATCGGCCACGCGATGCGGTCGGCGGCCATCGATCATGAACATGCGGTGTTAATTACCATTTCAAATTGCCCCTTCAAATCCAAATTGCGGAGAAAATTAAACCTACCACTCAATTGCCAGACTATTTATTGTCGCCTATCAAGTAAATATTAATTATAGTATACACACAATAAACATATTCAAATGTTTGGATCTCTAAAATTGTGGTGAACGCTTTTTATTTATAGAAATATAAATTTGTCAGCTAATAGCAAAAAAATATTAAAGAAATAATGATATAACAATTACCTCAAAGAGCGATTTATATTTCTCAGTTCGCCTAAAAACTCCTTCACATAATACCGTTTACTACACCAAATCCTCCGTTCAGGTTATGCGCCTATGAAACTCGCTACCACCTTCTATACGGAGTGCCCAATTCTTAGCTTTGTTTAAGGGACAAATCAAATCGCATTTTCTTTCACTATAATTACTCTTTTAAACAAACAAATATATATGTAAAAATAGAAAAAATCTTTTTAGTACAAACATTAACTTAATAATAACTTTATAACAAAATATTTACGTTATTACTACCTCGATGTACACAAATTAACCACGAAATTACATTATCAATGCATACCAGTCAAATTAACTTCCCTTATTTAATAAATTACCCCATATTATTTTAAAACATTAGATTAACCGCAATACGTAATTAACAGTAATCTAAATAATATTATAAACACATTGCAGTTGTCGGTAACATCATTACACCAATATTAAGCGATAAAATAGCCGTACCCAATCGAAAGGCCAAATCCTGACCAAATTAAGCCCCAATCCAAATTTATCGAGGCGTGAAACTGGGCTGAAATTTGGCAGAATTAGTAAACCCAACAATACCCATTTCACAATAATTGCTTAACTTGATAATCGTGATATATTGGATATCTAAAATACTGTTTTCCAAAGTCAAAATTCAATTCGTTAGCAATAATCAAAGGATTTCCACTTAATATATTAAGAATTTAATTGAATTCACTAATAACTATTGTAATAAATAAAATTGAATATTACTTAATAATAATAGAAAAAAAAAACAAAGTAAACACAGAAAAAGAATACTTTAATTTGATTTTCACTCGTATGCATGTTTTGATTCCCATAACACTACGAGTACAATGTAAAGGTTTTATAACAGTATAACTAATAACATATATTTCAACAATTTTGTTTTGAATGCGAAAGTATTTCGTTTTTTCATTTATACAAAATAAATCTTATAAACAAAAATCGATAACAAACCAAATTAATCTATGTGATGACAGTGAACTCATCCCTTTCCAGGTCGAACTTTTAATATGCTCGACGAAATGTGGATATTTGAAGTGTTACATTTACCAGAACGCCAACAATCATATAATATCTTAGACTACCCCATTAGGGACTATATTCATAAACATATCTATTAATACTTATCGAAATCATAAACTAGTGTTAGAATGATTTTTAAAACAAACTTATCTGGGAATCGGTGTGAGGTGTAGTGCGTTTCCTAAATATATTTTTTTTACACGAATGCGCAAAAAACAAATTTAATGTTATTAGGGTTTTTTTTTTGATGGGTGAAAATATATCATTTTACCATATCGGTAACCCCGCCTGCGCTAACGGGATACGCTGGCGGAGCACCAGTGAAGGGTGATTGATGAGAATGAAAACAGGCCAGTTAACCCATCATGATGAATTCATCAGGAATTAACCATGATAGTTTCCAGGGAGAACCGCATGGAGGTCGACCTGGATAGGTATATTGCTAGCAATAGGATTCTCAGTCTCCATTACTAACAATTCCTTTCCTCCCCTGTTATTAGGGTTCATGTGTGTGTATGTGTTTCTTTCATCATCATCTGATGATGATGTGGACAAATGTGCAGTAAACAGTTAACGGTTGACAAGATTAGCACGTAGCAACTACGTGCAAAACCCCGTAGTTGCCACGCTTGGCAGCCGGGTTAATAACCGCAGTTAGGCTTTGATGATATTTTAAGAGGGGCCCTACTACCTATCCCTCGACCATTAAATCTTTACCTTAGTCACCTCTTACGACATCCACGAGTAAGTAAGGAGTGGCCCATTCTCTATACATCCATTAAAATATAATTATAAATACCTAAACAAATTTGTCTTTACAATCTTTATATCGTTCCGAGTTACACCGGATATAATCTTTTTAATAAACACATTATTCAGTTTTTAACAAAGCAGTCATGTTTTCTAATTAGCAGAACAAATAGTACTTGTTGTTATGTTCTTTTACTCTTACTTAATTATATGTGCTGTGATCTTGTAGCATTAAACTTAATTTTACACTTAAACTTGATACTTTTTATCAGGCACGGAGGCAGCTGCAAGCCGCCGGATGCCTGTCAGAAGGCGAGAGTGTTGCATCCCTCGGCATAGGACCTCCGATGATGCTGGGCGGGCCGTCGGGCCTCATCGGGGACCGAGGCAGCTGCAGCGCCGACTCAGGTGTCAGAGGTAGAAACTGGATAACTACCGCCATTATTTATTAAATTTTAAGTTTTTATAAAATAATCTATTTTTGAGGACAAAAATTGTAATTACCGTATTAAAATGGGACGTCAAATTAACACGAAAAGCTCAATAAATCAGCCAATGATTTATTTAGATAACGTAGGTACAGAAAGTAAATTAGGCATTGAAATGTGTTTTATATAGCACGCAAAAATGTAATAATTTCAACAAAACTTGGTTACCTTCTATCGAAATACGTACTAATATTATAAATGTAAATGTGAGTTTGTATGTTACCTTATAGCGCCTTATAAGCTTAACCAATCACTATAAAATATGTAGTTTATGGAAAGGGATATAGCTTACTTTTTATCCCGGTCAGTAAGCATATCCCAGGTCATGCGGACGAGGTCGCGGGTAAAAGCTAGTAAACTATATATAATAGAACACTCGTCTTTTATATATTTTTATTACACTTATAGATAGATAGATAGACAATTTATTTGCATTACTTACAGCACACAAATTACAATAAAAAAAAAACATACACGTAATACACAGCAAAAGAGACAAATGAATAAAAATAAAAAAAAAGCACAAATAAAAAAACAAAAATACAAAAACAAAATACATAATCTAACAATCTCCTTTGTTAACATTCCTTCATGCGTGTGCCATAGTAACACAAAATGGTAACCAGATAAAATGTGTCAGTAACAGGCAGCAGCGACGGTGGCGCCACCTCTGTGTGCGGTGGGAACTTATCTGACTCCACAGCGGAAGGCGCGCCTCCGACCCTAGACGCTTACGATACAGATGCAGCATCGCTCGTATCATCTGCCCACCACCTTTATCAATGTAACGTACTAATTTTAAACTATTATCATTATTCAATATTAAGACCTGAGCAAATGATGACTGTAGCCAAAAGAATCAAACGTTGTTATACTAACCTAAACCATAATTATTACTGTTCCTATTTATAACACTTTATAAGATTAACCCTTTCCAATCCAATGTCGAATGACACTCGACATTGATTTTGTACCTTACCAAAAGGGATTATAAAGATCAGAATTAAGAATTATAGTATAGTATCCTGTAATTACTTATAAAATAAAGTTTATCATATAAGAAAAAATCAAGTTTATTTACAAAATACGAAATCACCCCTAAAAGTTAAAAAAAACGCAATCTTAGCGTAGAGCTGGTGGAATAAAAAGAAAAAAAAAGGCTTGGAGTGGAAAGGGTTAATATTACAAGATACTACTGTAAGGCATTGAAATTACTTTTTTTTTCATAAATTTCATTTAATTTCAACTTCTCTTTGTATAAACCGTTTACTTGTTTGCCTTGTAGCATACAATTTTGACGGAACTAAAAGATCTACCAAGTACTGTCTTTCGTTTTATTAACAGTGTGGGAAAATGAGAAACTGTGTAAATAAATAAATGGGAAAAAAATTTTCGCAACAAAATGTCTCACGTCTGCACTGATCATAACTTATTTTATTTAAATAAATAATTACACATTGCGCGGTCTAGTCCCAAAACTTACTATTATATTTTCTGTACTGTAATTAATCAGAACTTATACTATGAGTCTAAATAATTGATATATATATTTACATACTTTTTATTCTATTCAAACAACTACTTAATATACATAGAAAACCGTGTGGTCCTAGCGTAGAATAGGCTAACCCTTATTATCCTGTAAGTGTCGTAAGAGCCGACTAAGGGAGGGCGAGGGATGGGCAGCAGTGTCCCTCTTAAAACATCTCTAAAGCTTGACTGCGGTTGCCAATCCACCTGCCAAGCGTGGTAACTACTGGCAAAACCTCCCAAGGGGCAGGCTTATGTTCAGTAATGGACAGATAAAGGCTGATATGATGATACATAGATAACACCAAAACAAACAAATATATTCATATATACAAGCGCCTGTGTACGGGAATAGAACCAGCAACCATCGGAACGTAAAGCAATGTAAAACACTATAACACTCGTCGCGTACAAAATAAACCGAATGGAAAGGTTTTAAAAATCCAAATCTAAAGGTTTTAAAGCCAAATCTTTACATGTTTTTCTTTATATTGTATATTATTTTCTTTTTTATTTATGTGCATGTTACAAGACTACTCCTATTTCTCGATTGTCGTTATTCTAACTAGATTTTTTTATACAACTATAATGGCAAACAAACATACGACCTGTCTGGTGGTAAACGATACCGTAGCCTATGGACGTCTATAACACCAAGGATGTTACACGCGCATTATCGATACTATTATTATTATTAGTATCAAGTTGATAAATTATTCAGTTATAATTCAACAAAAAGTCCAGAAGCTAAAACAGAAAATGATGTAATAAGTGGATTGAACTGTATTATATCTGAATTGGTAACGGAAAAATCATTCGTATAGAAAACAGATACGAACTAAGTAATAGAAATAATTATTTTTAGTCAAATTTATCAAACAAATTCTCTTTATTTGGCGTAAAGTAAACACAAAAGAAAATTATTTCTACCTTTTCTACGAAGGCAACAAAGCAATTTTTCGAGGTAAGCACTTTACTCGGAAAATCCTATCGGTTTAATTATTAGAAGGTTCACCATTTCGCTCTTATCACAAAATATATAACGTAAAAAAAAAAACAGAGCAGTAAAAATTTCCGATTACGCGACAACCGTTTTATTACAGCGAAAGCCCTGCTTAACGATCAGATTGCGTCGTTTATACCTCTCAATGACGGTCTCGACTTGGATATATTTCAATATGTTCAATATTAAATTTATTTTTATATATTAGTAGTAGGTAGTACCTATAACATTAAGATAATATTTATGGAACGCTTCGCAAGACAATATTATCCACCTAAGAAAAAACAGTATACGGTTTCATGATACCTATTGATTTATTTTATTATTTTAAATGTGGAATGTTTAGACACAAGCTTTAAATTGATCTTTAATAGTAGCACACACCATCAGCCACTAGCCATTATATGTGCTGTAATCAAAGCTTCACTGCTTGAAATTAGCAAGCTGAAATACCAATCAGTGGGCTTACAGGATCTTTAGTTTACTTACTAAATCTGATAGAATTAACACACCATAGAGAAGAAATGTTCTCAATTTGAGATCCTACATCAATAAATACAATAAATATAGTGAAGTACAATAGGTAAAGAAAGAAAATGTAATACAATAAATAGTGACGATATTATGTCTTGTAGAAAGTCAACAGACACAAGTGATTAAGAAAAAAAAATATAGATGATCAAAGAGATAGATTATCTGTTTTTCTTTGGTTAATAAGTATAATTAAAATATTTGGGCTGAAATTCTGTTTTGTCGAGAAAAAATAGCAAGAAATAACAACAATACATTTTATAGATCAAACGTTTTCATTGCCTTTTTTTTACTATAATAATGTGTACAGACGAAATTAAAAATTGTAATTGTAAGTCAAAAAAATACCTAGACGAATTTATATTTTCGCAGTAATGTACTGTATGTAGTAAAAACTACTTGATAAAAAATAATATAGACTTTATTAAGATCAATTTTGAAATTCAATTGCAATAGATCGTGTTATCAGTGGATAATTTTATTGTAGTAAGCACGCCCCGGGATTGCAGTCCGACCCTGTCGCCACATAATAGTGCTTCGCCGTTCACGCGATCCATCGACGCCGGCTCACTATCAAGGTTTGTATAGAAATTATATGTACAACGCTATATATAATAATTATATGCCTTGTATACTTATTTAGGGACAGGAAGAAATTTTAATCCTTCGTATTTCCTCTTTTTTATTCCTTGAAAGGTCAAGGAAGTATTGTAAAATTGAAACTGAATATTCCCAAAGTAACATAAGTTATATACGACGAAAAAAAATTTAGCCTCCCATACTACTTTGACAATTGAACGCTTCGAAAATGTTGTTTCGTAATGCACCTTTGAAAGGTAGTTAATGAATTCAAATTTGGTTGTATATCTATTGCAATATAATAAAGATATTGTCAATCAGTTAAGACTTACCTCTTAATGATTATGTATCTTATCTTGTTAAATTGCTAAGAATTAATTATAAGTTAAAATCAGCGCATTCATCAGTGGGCTAAAATGGGGGCTAAACTTTATGTGAGAGTTCTTCAATTAAAAACTTAGAAACATATATTTATTCCATTTATGTGTGCGTAGACAAGTTGTACCTTAAATTTAGAAATATGTACTTCCACATCTGTTACCTTCAAACAGAATATAAAGTTTGTGCAAGGAATTGTTCGTATTATATATGAAGTAAATTTCTGGAAATTGTCGCTGAAATGAAAAATATTTGTAATAAACATAAGTTGTTATTACAAAAATATATTAATTTTGGATATATTTAATATTTATCTGAATCAAATTTAGTATTTTTTATAGACTTGAGACGGGACTTCGCGTGTAGATAGATATCAAGATTTATCATTCGTTTGTTCTTAAAGGAAACTGCCTAATAATTGATTCCTATTACAAAAGCTTTCAACGCAATATTAATTTCTTCAAAGTTTTCGTTATTTGTAACAAAAAAAGTCTCTTATACACGAATATTAAACGTAAGCAGGTCAGTGGAGCAGCTGTCGAGTCCGGGCGAGTGCGAGGCGGCGCTAGTGGGGGGGCTGAGAGCGCGCGGGGCCGGCAAGGGCGGCCGGGGCCGCGGCTCCGCGTGGGGCTCCATATCGCGCGTGTTCGCACGGAGCCGGCACCGCACTAAGTCTGGCAGCGCTGTCGTCAGCGGACACGAGAGTGGTGAGGATTAAGGCTGTTCATACCAAAATTAACCGAAATGTTGCAACATCGCAATTGTCTGTGAACTTACATACATACACACATATCTATCACGCCGGTCTCCCATTAGGGTAGGCAGAAACAATGGAACGCCAAATGCTTCGATTCAAACAAACCTGTGAATGAACAAACAAATCTGTAAACTTTCAATAATAATTTAATAATTTTAAATAAGTAATATTTTTCGTATTTTTAGGTAATTTTATAATATATATGTTCATTATTTAGAAAAAAAAACAATTAAGTTAATAAAATTTCTGTTCCATATAGACATTGTTACAAAATTAACATTAAAAATAATACTTTGCTTTTAGTTTATATTTTTCATCTGAAATTTTAAAAATACCCTTTTACCATCAAAATTAATTTTTCATTAACACTTTTATAAAAATGTTATTGCAGAATTAATATTTCAGTTGTCACTAACACAGCATTTTTGAAATAAATCAAGCAGCAGTACTGAAAATCGTTTAATTGTGTTGGAATTAAATAATTCCAACGCTGCCACATTTTCTTAAGTTTCAGTATGAATGCTTTTAATATATTCAAAACTTTACTATATTTTACTCATAAACTTTTTAGGCGTGTCTTTGTTAAAGCTGGATTTACATTGTGATACTGTAACTTCATGAACCATGCATAAAACTAGCTAATTTACACTTATTGTGTAAACTAGTTTCATATAATGACCACTACTCCTGTAAGTTATTTCGAAACTTTCACTAGCTGGACATATGAAACTTTATTGAGAAATTACTTTCATGCCATTATTTTTACAATCGAAATCAGACCCTAATATTTACATTTTATATAAAAAATATTGACGTGTATTCCCAGCATAGAATAGGCCACCCCTTCCTCTCCTGTGGGCATCGTAAGAGGCGACTAAGAGAGGTCGAGGGATGAGTAGCAGCGTCCCTCTAAAAACGTCTTCAAATCCTAACTGCGGTTACTAATCTGCCTGCCAAACGTGACACTACTGATAAAACCCCCAAGGAAGGAAGAGGCTTCGGCCATCCCTTCCTTTCCTGTGGATGTCGTAAGAGGCGACTGAGGGAACTTAAAGGTCGAGAGATGGGCAGCAACGTTCCTCTTAAAACATCTCCAAAGTCTAACTGCGGTTGCCAATCCGCTTGCCAAGCGTTACAAATAGTGGCAAAACCGCTATTTTCAGCGAGACCTATGTTCAGCAGTGGACAGTAAACGGCTGATATAATGAAATATACGATGCTGGATATCTGGAATTTAATGAACATATTGTATTTATTATGTCCGACAATTGTTTTATTTCAAATTTTAAAAACAATATAATATAATTATAATACAATTTGCATATCAGATGAATATTCCTCTTATGAACAAATTGGCTAGTAATATATAATATAAAAGATATATAATATAAAAAGTTGATATATACTAAAAAATAATAAATATAAATTTTATATAAAAGTAGAAACTTTTATACTTGAAAATTAAGAAAATATCTCCAACGACTTAATCATTGATAGTGATCAAGCTCACATCTCCTTGTTATCCGGGTTGTGTGTTCTCAGTTACAGCATTTCAACTTATTAATAATTTAGCATTAACCTATCTCCCCTTTACGCCCACCTCCCAGAACCAGTATACGCCGGTACAGGGAGCACGACCCGTGCGTGGTCACCCCTCGGCAGCGAGGCAGCGCTGCGTGAAGCGGCCTCGCTGCCGCTGGCGCGGTGGCGCGCGCCCGCGATCATAGCGTGGCTGGAGCTCGCGCTCGGCATGCCGCAATACGCTGCCGCTGTCGCCGACAACGTCAAGAGTGGAAAGGTATGTCACACGATAACAATAAATAGGAGTGGCTAATATTATCTATATATTTTAGTTACAATATCTATATACTGGTCCAATAACGAATATGTTAAAAGTGTATTATTCAAAAAAGAATATTGAATAAGAGACTTTTAACATATTTGAAAATAGATAACTGACTGATATGGGCGATATCGAAATGGGTGATACCTTTTATCTGCCATCAATGTATTGAATAACCCAATATATAGATATCAGATCAGTATCTATATTTCCCATGTTTACTACTAACCACAAACTAACCTCACAGATAATTATAGTATAATTCAATAGAACTTAATGAAAATATAAAAAAAAGAAAAATTGCCTCGACTATAGATATATAGTCTACTGATGTACACAAATAGCAACACAATTAAAAATCGAATCGAACGTTTCGACTTGTTACTAATTTAATTTAGAGAGTGTTTCTCTGATAATAGGGCTCGGAGGCGCCATTTCTCTAAATTTATCTCTACAATTTAGATTTAAATTTGATACTAGAGTGAAATGTTTGTTCTGTGGACCAATTTGAACTAATTTTCTAATAGATTTAAATCAGTAATTTCATCAAAACAAATGTTAGGTTTCGTAACCTAATATTTTAATTTGTTATTTTGTTGATAACTTTAGAAAAATCTTGATCTCAATGTCAACATAACTTGGTTAATTTTTCATTAAGTTCAATTGAACCATCCCATATTCGTATTATGCAAGTATAACGTGTAACATAGGTGTAAGAGAATATACGCAATCTCTCAAATTGTAAAACGAACTAACAACACTGTGAAATAAAACTAGACTTACAATAGATATAATTTACTGAAGTAATTGTCCACTATTCTATACTCAATAAATATTGGAATATAATTATTTATATTTTAAATTTTTATTTTTTATAAATTATGAATGCATATTTTTTCATAAATTATGGGCATCATTATATACATCGTATATTATATACATCATCGTATTCTAAAAAATCCAGTCATAAGAAAATAAACCTTACTATAATGTTATAAGACTTAAAAATTCGCATAATTTGCATACATTTTTTATTGAAACTACATATAAAATAATTTATTTTGTTTAAATTAGGTCAACTATTACGTAAAACAACAAAAAAAGATAATTTTTTAACAGGTATAAAAAGAAAATTACAATTTAAGTATTTAAATTTAAACGCAAAGAATTGCGTTTATTCTGTTACACCTTGTATATACGAGTACAAAAACCCAAGATATAACATTATACACTAAAAAATGTCATTAGAAGTATTTAACTTCACTCTTGTACTACGGTATATTGATTTATTTCGATTCTATACAGTTTTAAGTCTTCTTTTTTTATGTAAATTTTGGGTTTTTGTATAGATATCAGTGCTACTAACCAATTATTAGCTTGAAACGAGAACCAACCTAAGCCATTATTGTAAAGTCCTACCTTCTTTATACTTACCACCAGACAGTTTAATACTACAGCCAATCTATACTGATATTTACAATATTATATGCAATTCTTTATTAAGACTGAAAAATAATGTGATGGCTGCTTAATAATAAGTACATACTCGTATACGAGTATGAATCTAATTACCCTTTGTAATCCAGAAAACACGAATGAGTTTTTAATCTCGGAGTCCATTATTCAGATAAACATTGAAAACGAAAGGTCACAGTTTTGAGGTTATATTTTAAATTAACGTAACGCGTATAATATAAAAATGAGAAAAATTGACGTTTTCATTTTTATACGGGTCGTAATCCCCGTCTAACACAATGCGGCTTATCTTCCTGTATGTAACGAATGGAACCAAAAAATCCATTTTCATTATCCCATATCCATTCATTACACGAAATACTCTCGTTTTATTAGATTTGCATGGAAATTAAGTCCCAATACAGAATCCCTTGATAAATTCATAGCTATATTTGTTTATTCAAAACACGTTGCTCTCCGATTTATCACTAGGTACCTGCTCATTCGCGCGGCCCCTTATTAATTTCAGGCATCTATAATTCACATGATAAATGCTGTCATTAACAAAAATTTCAATTAGTTCCTGATTTAATGAAATAAATTGAATGGAACGTTCAATTCAATGCACAAATACAATTATGTGAAATTAAACGCTCGCTTGATAATACAATATTTAAAGTAGTAGTGAAATTGACGCAATAGTAGCGTCAAATATTGTGTTTTGGTTGGTTCTAGATCCGTGCTTTGAATGGGCAGGTTCTGCTCGAGTTGTCGGACGCTGATTTGGAAGTGGGACTGGGCATCACGCAGCCGATGCACCGCAAGAAATTGAGGCTAGCGATAGAAGAACGAAGAAGGCCTGATCTCGTGAGGAATCCGAGTATAGGCCAGTTGACGCATGCTTGGGTCGCCGCTGAATGGTTGCCAGATTTAGGATTGTCGCAGGTATGTTTCACAAGTAAATATTTTAGTTTACTTTGATGCTCAGAAAAAGCTTGGAACTTTGTTATTTGAAATTCTCGGGTTGTAAAATTTTAGTGTTTATTTAAAGTAAAATGTGCCCAAGTAAGAATCTTTTTACACTTATCTATTCATAAGTACACAAATAAATCACAGACATAATATTTCACTTTTAAAAAAAATATTTAGAAGATTATTAAACGCATATTATACCTATTTATCTAGTAATGATTTATGTTTATAACAGTACGCGGAATCATTTTTGGCGAATTTGGTGGATGCTCGAATGCTGGATACAATTAGCAAGAAAGAATTAGAGAAATATCTAGGCGTAACAAGGAAATTCCATCAGGCTTCCATTGTCCATGGCATTCACTTGCTTAGGATAATGAAATACGACAGACAAGTAAGTTGTTTCATAAGAATATTTGTATACTAATAATAAGTATTGGCTACGAACATAAAATATTTCGAAAACATATAAGGAGCTGAATGGATTTAAACAATTTTTTTAATCTTACTCGATTAATTAGTTACTTGTTCGTTAATGCGAACAAGTTGATAGGGAGTACTAGTTAATTTATTTTAATTCTTCGTTATTTCTTTATTTTTATTCATAGATAATTTTTATTATCATTATATCAACCTATTAACGCTACACTACAATAAAATAAAAAAATAGACTACAATAAAAATCATTATATGTATGTATCGTAGTCTTAAAAAACATCTAACCCAACCTATCTGTAGTTAACAACCACGTCCCTTCAATTTAATAAAACAATATAACTCACTGCCTATTCGACAGATAACGATTATAAATGCCAATACAACTCAATAAGGATACTCCACGGTACAGTAGATTCCTTCGCGTTTTATATTAAATAAGATAATCTCTAAAACAAAAAATATTTTCCTTTTCTCTGCGATAAAGGCCCTAAAGATAAGACAGAAACAAATAAACGATTATCCAGTGAGCCGCTACAAAATGTTTCGTATCGTATTGCTGTGACCCCTATAATGTTTACCCATTAATCATCCCGGTACACTCCTTCGAATTCGTCGTTGAATCCAAATTTGGCCAACAATATCTCTTATTATTACTTCCTTATTCTGAACGTAATAAATTACTTCTGGCCGAGTGAAATCAATCTTAGTTACATCTGTGAACTGTTGTTGTAGGCTTTAGCAGTGAGACGCCATCAGTGCGAGAACGTCGACGCAGATCCTTTAGTTTGGACAAACCAGAGGTTCATGCGATGGGCACATAATATTGACTTAGGGGAATTTGCTGATAATCTTAAAGGTGAGTTTTAAGTTGTTAATAATAATATTATTATTATATTGTGCTATAAAACAGCTGATATAAAAAACGTAGTATATGGTAGTAGACATTGGGGAAGGCCGAAGATGACCAATGGATACAAACAGACTAAGATTATGATGATCATGATATTTTACTAATTCAAAAAGAAATAGATAAACTTTAACTAATAGTAAATCAAAATATTATTAACGATCAAACTCTATTCCTAACAGACAGCGGAGTACATGGTGGGCTAGTTGTATTAGAACCTTCATTTACTGGAGAAACCATGGCAACTGCTCTCGGAATACCGCCATCCAAAAGTATTATAAGGAGACATTTGGTAGCTGAATTTGACGCTCTTGTAATTCCTGCGAGGTAAGTATTGATATTGTACATATCCATTTTATAGGTATCCAAAGGAGACATAATATTTGCATCATCTAAATATTCAGTGTAAAGTAAATATTAAACTAGAGCCTGTTGATGATGAATGTTATGTTTTCTATTTGATATCTTTCAATATTTCCTTAAATTATGATCTTATTGAACCATGTTAACTATTGTCATGTCTTGGTGACAAAGCACTGTCCAATGTAACGTACTTTACCCATAAACTCATACTATCTGAAAACTATGTGAGTGTCAAACATAAAGAGCATTGAAAGGAAAATTTGCGCACTGCATGAATAGTTGTCACCAGAATCACAGTCCCGGTAGGTGAGCAACCTGTAGTTGATTATAATGTGAGGTGCAATCCTGCAGGTATACGATATTTTGCCAGGTGGAAGAACTGCAAGTGGAGGCTGCCCGAGCATCCATGTTGTCCACAAAACAAAGATAAATCGTCAAAAATTAAAAAACTCTCATTCAAAAAATAAATATTAGCTTCATTCGGCGTCCAGTTTCGTCAACCTGTATATCTATGTAAAATTTCCTATATTGAAATGTTTGTAAAGTTGCTATTTTTACACAAAATATTTTCTTTGCAAAAAGGCATTTAGGGATCTTCCGTCGAGACTCGCTCGTTTGTCGAATTTTTTGATTGAAAACTTTACGAGCAGTGAAGACTGATAAGTTATTGTAGAATCCGTGGTTTGTATGTAAAGAAATTCGAAAAGTTGTAGCGATCGGAACAGTTACATTCTTTTGTGCCCTTCGCCTTCGTCAATGTTAGATTCAATGTTCTGCATTGTAACCCCCTAGAGTTCCAATTTGCAGTAGTTTAGATTCGTCACATCAATGTTTATTCGAAATCGATAAATTTGATAAATTTAGTAAATGTATACAACTAACAATTAGTTATATCGACGTAAAAGCATAAAATGCTTCATATTAAATTTAGGGGGTGAATCATATCCCATTATTAATACCTGCGTAATTTATATCAAAAAGGATTCCTTTGATATTATCAAGTTTTGAAATTAATTATACATAGTAATCAAAGATTTTAAACCATTACACAATAATTATTCTTAGATATAAAAACAGAACCATTCACAATAGCTTTAGGGGTTATAACAATAATAGCATTTACCGATACTGTAAGATAAAATATGTTTTTGACTTGTATACATTCATATTGTAAAGTTGATAACATTGTATATTAGTTCACCTGTAACAAGATCGATTGACATATAAATGTGAATAAATCCTGATAAAAACCGATAATGCCCAATGGACATCGAGTCAGTTTCTTTTATTATCCATCATCCCTAACTTGGCGCCCTAGCATCGAGACAGAACGGTAACAATCATTTTATCGATAAGTCATGAATGCCTCTCTGTCATCATCATTAGATCGCACTTTAATCAGGCTCTGTCCACTATTTCTCCTTCCATTAAAATTGTTTTATTTTCTCGAAATAATTTCGATCACACCACTGACATGTCGTGCTTGTCTGGTTTAGTTTCAACATTTTGATTAATATCATTATTGTTATTTATGCGTGATTGCAGGGAACAGTACTGTATTATTTTCTTTTAAAGCACTAAGATCATTAATATGAAAGTAAAATAATATTATAAACAGATACGTAGTATGTTCAGTACTTTTCTTTGTTCAAACATCAATGTGTACCCACGTTATTTTGTTTCTAATCATACATACCTATCAATCACCACAATCAGCATGATTTTGTATTTTCCAGCAAAGTGCATCATGCTTTTGATGTCTATGCAAAAATATTAATAAATTGTATTTTGACACGTCTATACAAAGCTATAGAGCTTATTGTGAATATGACATGACTACATGCCAAGCATAGTGACTTAAATGTTTTATTTAAGTTAGGAACTGAAATGAGTGAGCTCCATATGGAACAGTAATTCTGAATACATCAAAAGTTGCATGAGAGCTTTTTATGTTAGCCAGAAATATTACAGTTTTGATGTAAAAAGAGACTTTATTATCAAACTAAAAGCAAACAGCGCTCTGCCTGGCTTTCGTCAAATAAACTGCGCATATTTTTATCGTATGTAAAATAAGAGTAAATATAATTTTCAGGAATATGTTTGGTCACCAAATTAGAATGTTGGGTAGACCATTTTCGAGATCGGTCGCCACTGGATTGCCGGGAATAGATCTTAGTAGTGATTCTAGAAGACATAGTTTGAGGGTAAGTGTATCGATTAGTCGGGTACATGAGCAATAAACATATAATACATATACACAAGTAAAACATTCAGATATAGGAATTTTGCTATTTGTACTATATCTATATTTTTGAATATGTCATTAGATTTAATATTTCATAACCAATGAATACTTTATAGAATTAATGAAAGTATTTACATCCTACTGACTAAGATTTTCTATTAGATCCTCGAAAGTGAAGGAACTACTTCAAACATGTGCCTACCTAATTTCATAAACAATATTTTATAATAATAATAGTAATTTTAGTCCACTTCACATTTATATGTATAAGCATTATAAGTACACTACTTTGTACAATAATAAAAATCTGATTAGTGTAATTCGAAAAATTTTGTTAAAACATCCGTTTTTATATTTATTTCATTATTCTTTATTCTATGCTTCCTTTAGTGTTGTTGTGATATCCTTGGAATTAAAGGGAGTTATAAAATATTGTTATTATATGATCACAATACGGATACGTCTTATATTACTACACTAACCAGATAGCTTGGTGTAAGCTTTATTTCTAAGAATTTATTTTCGCTCGCACTAGTATTTTACAAAATATAAAAAGGAGTGGTGATCAATTTTATTCTTACTCTATCTATCTATCTACACGGAAAACAAAAAACAAAAATTTGTGTTACAGTAAATTATTTTTTTCAGGGTTCAATAACCCGAGCACTGGGGGCACTCAAACCAAAACACGATCGAACTTCGCCTTCGAGCTCAAGCGAAAGCTCAAGCGTACTCAGTTTGACGACGCAACAATATCAAATGTCATACTCGCCTCCTATCGCAGTCAGGACACTGTCACAACTGAGTATGACATATGCACCTCCGCCAACACTGCAAGAGTACGAGCCAATATATACACCATTGAGTTTGTATTCGCAGTCCAGTGTTTCCACCAGAGACAGTTTGCAAAGACTGAATGAGATTAAGGAGAACGCCGGAATTACACATAGGTACGTAAACGTCAACACTCACAACTACCACAACTAGATAAGTATACTATATATATATATATATATCAATGCAAATCAACAAAGTGTGATGATTGATTAACGAACGTGAAGAGTAGGTAACATGGGAATTGCAGTATATTCTGTGATGTTACTCTTCATGTTTATAGGCGACGGTTACCACTTTCTAATTTCGAGATTGTTCGTTATTCTAGATATCGTAAAAAACATTTATTTTATCATTATTATACTCTTTTTTATAAAAAAAAAAACCAAAGTTAATTCAAATCCTTACATTTTATATATAACGACATTTGTGACGCTGACGACCTATCTAATGGAATATGAAGATTATTGCCTTTCAAAGTTATAACGGATAGTACAGACTGACAGTTAGACATGATGAACTTAGCCGGCTATGACATTGCTTATCCATTACCACTCCCGAGAACAGGTTTTAAGTCTTTAATATCGTCGTATATGCTAGCTATCATTCATATTAAAATAACAACTAATGCATTGCTCGTTGTTATTTTAAAACAGCAGAAATTCGGCTAAATTTAATTGACAGTTCCGAATTTCATGTTGACCACAGTCAACTAAATCAATAACTAGGTTGAAAGTTAAGGAGCAATTAATTTTATTAGATGTTTTCTTGAAAATAGAATTTATATCAACAAGTACTCACATAAATTTTATTAATAGATAGATATATAGATACTCTTTATTGTTTCCTCCAAAAGATTACAATAGTAAACTTATTATAAATATAAATTTTGAATGTATTTACAAATTCTATTTGTGTTCAAATAACCCTTTTAACTACGGTCTACATTGTTCATTGTTAATATTTCGTTTCAATCTTCTCTAATAATAGAAAGATTAACCTAACTTTTGTTTTAGAAATGTCCTTTCTTTTTATTCTACAAACTTATTTACAATTGTTTTATCAAGATCAAATAAGATTAATATTATTATATCTATCTTTACGCCAACACCCTTGCAGAGTAGGCATAGAGAAGCAAGTAACAAAGTCCTATCATTACACAATTTCTTCCTTCCTGGATTTTTATAACTAGTCTAATTCATATACTCTGGTTCTAGAGAATTTTTACTCTGTTCTGAGATAAAACCTGATATATCGGAGGGAGGATCTATCTTATATTATTCTAATGTACTTGTAATAAAATTCTATCTTAAGCACAATCTACCCTATAAAACACAAGAAAGAGTGAAGATCTCTTTCTTATGACTTATACGGTACATTATATCGATCTAATCATAGCACTTAGGAGAAGAGATCTTATTTTCGCCTGCGCCAAAAGTATATATAATACGAGTACTAACGGGGCACTAGTGAGGTATAAGCATGAATTCAATTATGATTAGATCCTGGTAGATTCATTACGACGGATTAACTGACTTGATTTAATCCTCATCTATCATCACTGATCCTCCACCATCGTATACCGATAGTGCAAGCACAGTTACTATTCCAATTTCAGCCATTAAAAAAAATACAGCACCAAACTCTTAACAAACTGGAATTTCCTAGGTATGGACAAAAAGCGGACCATGCCCATCGTGTGAGCTCACCGTTGCCAGCTAAGTCTGTGGACGACAGTGGCGTCAAACAGAAGCGGCACAGGCGGGTGAAGAGTATCGGTGATATCAACGCCTGCACCAAGGCATCAGTCTAGATAATTATGTCAATTGTAAGAAACTGGCTCTATATTGATAGAAATTCAATCAAAGTGGCGATGTAAAACGGTACATTCTCTAATTTCTTATATATATATCCTATTAAAAAATTTCTTAATAAAAATAATCATTATGCTCACACCACTATATGATAAATAGATACTATAGTTTCTTGTTATGAACCATACACTTATAGCGATAATGTCAAACAAATTGTATTAAATGCTATGCGTGCATCGTACAGATATTGTCTCAAAGGTATAAAAGATAGTAAGCGTAAAAAAGCAAGCGGAAGATAATAAATAGAGCCAGTTGTAGAAAAAAAAAAACAAAACGATTTTTAATACAATTTTTGTGAAATATAACTATTTATATATGTATGTACCAATAATAACGCATATCAAGACATTAAAACTAATTTTATGAAAGCATCACAATTAGACTGACAACTTATGTTTTACATATGAATTTCGCTTATCTTATTACATATAATATTCAGTGACTGAATATTATTATATTCAGTGCTCCATACTACAGTATTAAGTGTAAGTTTTTATACATTTTTTAGTATAAGTTTTCATCTGATACACGTGTATTGTATTAATTTTGATAATGTAAAATTCTGTATTTACTTGCCCAATAACACTGTGATAATAAATTACTCACGCGATAACAAACCAGGCCCTTTAAACAAGTGAGTAACAATTCTGTCGGTAGACACGTTTTTGTTATCGCAAGCATAAGAAAGAAGAAGACGCCGAATAGTTCTGTCTTATCCTATCTCATGTAATGTAAATGTATCTAAAAATAGTTTCATTGGCCACTTGTTTAGAAGGTCAGGAGTATCTGATTATATTACCGATATATTTACCAATTTATATACGAATATTGTAATGAATACAAACATTCCCAATGAGCTTGACCGTTATTATTAAGATTTTATTGTGTTATTTTGATATCTGTCTATACACACTAACTTAAAGGTTTATTTTTGTTGTTGTTGTTTAACTTAACTTTTTTTTTTTCGTTATGTGATATAAATTGAGTTACCAATTCTGTATTTTTTTTTCTATAAATATCATAAATAAATTGTATAAGATAATATAAAGTTTCATTTCTATGAATAGAATTTACGCAAACCCTACCTACATAAGTACGTAAGAGGCGAACCGGTGGCTGCGTACAGAACTTATTGAGTTCAGTTCTAAAGAAATACGATTTATTTTTCAATCCACAATACCTTCTTCTGTATAAAAGGCCGCGATCTTTTATATGCTGCGGTGAGGACTACCAGCTATTTATTTAATAGCTCATTCCAATGGACCTACAAAAGAGGGCCTGATAAAAGAAACTGCCTCAAGTTTGGTTATATCAATAGGGAAACACATAGGATTTCCTTTGATACCGTTTAAACATAAATATTTTAGTTGGTGGAACGCCTTAGGGATGCGCCCTTTCTTTGGTTAGTCAATATCATCATGGGTAAAAGGGAATTGCTTTCAATTGGTACTTGCCTATCTATATTCTATTACTTACATAAATGAATATTTTAATAATTAATCAAATTCTAAAAATATCAATATATATTAAGCGCATAAAGCGCAATAATTGACACGACACGATATCGTACGATTTACCGTCACGATATAATAGGAGAATAAAATATATGCGATGGTACGTAGATACTTTTAACTTTCTGTGACGATATATCATTGTACGGAGGTACTAAGTATTGCAGTGTATGAGGCGTCACCAGTATAATTTAATACTGTCCTGATTTTCTATCAGGTGAACTGTCAACTTGTTTGTTATTTTAAACTACATAGAAAATTTATTTCATTCTCGCCTGTATCATACATTCTGCATTTTCTTTCTGTGAATAGATAGATAGATGTATAATTTATTTGCATTACTTATGTAATACGTTATATTACGGCTTTAAATACAATATCGCCTGTAATATACAATAATAATAATAATAACAATAACAATGTCACATCGCAAGCGTGTTGCCGATTCTAAAAAAATACTTAGAAATTACGTTTGATGGAGTTATTTATTATCTACTAAATTCAATGTACAGGTGCCACATTGAATTTTTATTTTTGTTTAAAAGGGCAACTCACACTCACTCACATTACGAATACCTATAACAATTCCTGAAAAACATAAAATTATTGCAACAGTAAAAAGTCTGTCTATCTGTCTGTTCGTATGTTTTTTCATTACGGATATATTGAACCAAATTTACATATAAACTGGGATAGATATAAAATAGTGGAGTATTATTTCAAGCTTTAGAAAATTACATGCAAATCTAATCGATCTTGGATAAATCCAACGAGAGAGAATGGATGGAATTTGAATCCCGCGTTCAGGAGCTAAGACTTGCCGCATTTTATTCAGGAACTAATTTTCTTGTTTAGTAAGTATTATCTCTTGAAGATTTTAAAGTATAATTCGATACACTATTGCAGCAACATTTTGAATATATATATATATATATATATATATATATATATATATATATATATATATATATATATATATATATATATATATATATATAATATATATATATATATATATATATATATATATATATATATATATATAAAAACTATAGCTTTGTATCGAAGACTGGCAACATACAAAAGTAAGTATCATATGTAAAGATATTACTTTCTATGCTATAGGCAACATAGTGTATTTATAACGTTCATATTTAATATCGTTCGATTCTATCGGGTGGATAGTCAGCTTATCATTCCAAATCGTATAAAAATAATCTAACCAAATGAGTAAAATATAATATAGAATTGTAGACAAACACATAAGCCTTATTAAACACATGCGTAAGTAATTTTTTATATTACTTAAATAAGAAGTTGAGAATTGATTCTGTAATATATGAACTGTTATTTTGTCTTGTTCAATAGATGCCTGCACTTGATGCTTTGTAGTCGAAAAACATCGTAACTCGACGCTTAGTTAGTGAACTATTTTCTTCAATTCCGTAAAACTACTACCAACGCGAGTTTCTCTGAAGTCGAAATTAAAAGGAAAATAGGTATACCAGCCAGAATAGAATGTTATTTTATAATATTATTAATATTATATCACGTCAAAAAATAAGCAAACTTTATGGAAAGTGTGCTCTAAAAATACAGAAATGATAATGTATTTGAAACTATAATACATTCGTACTATAAAAATTCTGTGCCACGATGTTTATTCATACTATTTCACTGAAATCGCTTAACTAATTTTAATAAAATTTTGTGTGTATTATTTGTTCCCATTTGAGAGATAAGATAATTTTACCTAATAAGAAAAACTAGAGATGGTACCTACCAAGTCTATTTTTTCTTAAAAATTTAAACCTGATAGTAAAGGACAAAATAACATTTTTTTAGAGCATTAAAATAACATTTTATGATTTTAATTTATTTGTCGTAATTAATAATTAGAAAATATTACTTACAGACACGTTTATAAAGATCGATAGTAATAATTAATAATTAAATGAAAATAATAAAAAATAGTAAAACATGATTAATTACAAATTACAAAAATTTTATTATTAGATAAAGAACTAAGTACCCACGCTGACGATTTATTAAGTTCGTTACATTAATGTAGGATTTATTTGTGTTAATTGAATAATATTTAATGGAATTAAAACACCTTGTTAAAACCCTTTCGGGTGGCTTCGCTACCAAGTTTAACAAGGTGAGTTAATTTTATAAAATTTACCAAATAAATCTCATTAACAAAATTCCAAATTGAATTCACCAGATTTAACGTTATATCTCTAGTTTAATTGAAGATAATGTTCAAAACTACTAATGTACTTTACTATTTTCTTATTTTAGTTAATAGTAAATGAATTTTATTATATCATAAATATGATGAAGTACAGTCAAAAGAAGCTATTTGTTTTGAAGTTGCCATCTATTTGCTTAAAAATTTACAGAAATAAATTACATGTTATAACTCACGACTTTTATTTGTTTCTAATTAAATTTTATGTATGCACGTTTTAATTTTCATGTTAACTGATGCTTTATTATTATTTCAGCCATTAACTGTCCACTACTGGACATAAGCTTCCCCATAAGGGGAGTTTTGCCAGTAGTTGCCACGCTTGGCAGGCTGGTTGGCAACCGTAGTTACGCTTTTAGAGAGGTTTTGAGAGGGACGCTGCTGACCATCCCTCGCATGCCCTTAGTCACCTCTTACGATACCCACTGGAAAGGAAGGTGTGGCCCATTCTATGCCGGGGCACACACGGCAATTGATGTTTTAGACCCATAAAAAATACGCTTATGACTTATCGTAGATATATTAATTGGATCCATTTTGATGAACACAGTATTCGATATTTAGCCGAACATATTTGAATGTAACGTGGTACAATAAAGCAAAGCTATTATCGTCTCTTAAAATAGTAATTTCAATATAAATTAGTAACCTCTAAAACAATATAAAGTAAATAAATGTCCACCAAATAACAATTTCTTAAACACGTATTATTGACTATTCGGCCCATTACATTCTGTTCACAAAACTGGAAAAAATGTCGTTATTGCCAATAGGGCATGCGAAAAAAGCTAAATATATATCGTTAAATTACTTGACTATAGAAGCACGCGTCATTAAGTTTCAATATTGCTTAGGAGGCTCGCCTCACCATACTTCAGTGGGCGAGACATGAAATCACGCGTTTTATACTGTCAGCGAAAATTCAATCGGGGTAACTCCGGTAAATCGAAGGCGTCGTGAGAAGCGGAAATATGCAAAAATATTCCTAAAAGTGCGGAAATGAAGTCGGCGTATGTAAGTTTAGAGCCTTTGTGATGTGAATAAAGATAAAGTAAATATCAATCCAAATAAAATAGTCTTGTCAAAGCAAATCACAATGATTTTTATATGATCCAAAAATTAATTTAAATCCTAAATTAACATTTCGTGTTAATTTTGGATTTTGGACGGGGATACTCTTTATCCCAAATCATGAGCAAACCCCAACTTGAAGTATTGTTGGTACCAAAATAAATTTCTGCTTATCTACTCATAATATTTACATTACCCCTTTATTCTTAAATCTAAATCTTTCTACAAACCTACTTCAACTTTTGCACTGTTTTGTTACTTTCTTTCAAATTAGGAATTTAGCACCAAAGAAAGAGACAAAATAATAGCTAAAATGGGTATAAACCTCATAAGAGAAATTTGTCTTTTTTATAAATAGGACAGTTTTACAGTCGTGATTTATTCTTTTTTGTATTGGATACTTAAGTAGGTACTTGTATTTGTAATATAAACACCAACTAAATGTGTTAGATTTTATCTTATTACTAACAACAAGCTGGTAAGTAAATTATGTACTTCCGAGTTACCATCAACACGGCGAATATTGTATGAATTTCCATCAAGCAAGATTCAGAGCATCGAGGCGCATTCTATATGCATCCGCACTGGGAATACTACACGCTACAACATGGAACTTTCTTGTTATGCACTGAACGGCTTTTACATACAATCGAATGAAATCTCATTTACAAACATTTGAGTAAACCAAAGTATAATCTATATTAAAAGATTATCTAATTCAAAGAATTGATTAATTCCTTTAGATGATAAAAAAGTTCACAACAAACAAAGTGGTATTATTACTTATACTATGGTTTTTTATGATTAGGTATTTTTTTAAACTATTAGTTAAATTCCATATTACAACGACATCAAAATTTTAAATATCAGTATGAACCAAATCCTACTATTATTGTTAACGCGAAAGTTTATGAAGGCGTATGGATGGACGTTTGTTGCTTTTTTACACAAAAACTACTGAATAGATTTAAATAAAATTTTATGCACGAATAGGTGTTGCAATTACTACATGCGATACTTTTTATACTAATTCACGCAATGCATGATACAACTAATTTATAGTCTATTTGATTCAAAACTTCTCTATTTTATTTTTATTTTAGCTTGTTAATAATTCGAGTAATCAATTTAAAATTTTATTTTAGAAATAGTTTAAAAAAATGGCAATTAACACTCAACACTACAGTGGTTATAACATATATAACCACTGTAGGTGCTTTACTGCTAACTGCTTTAAAAATAAT